AAATTTTTTATGATATATTGTTATGCTGATCGAACACCACCAACAAAAATATAACATTTATTTAAAAAAAAACACCTACAATATGAAACAAATTGAATAGACTAAGATAAATAATCATCTATACTTGTAATACCACACAACCTAGACTACCATCTCGGCCACCCAGGTCACCTTGTTCTCCCGGGCAACGCGACCGTGCAAGGACCAAGGAAAGTCATAGTAAAAGAAAGAAAAAGAACTCTGAAAATAAAACTTATATACTTGTAATACCACACAACCTAGACTACCATCTTGGCCACCCGGGTCACCCTGTTCCCCCGGGCAACTCGGCCGTGCAAGGACCAGGAAATGTCATAGTAAAACAAAGAAAAGAAACTTTGAAAAAAAACTATGTTAAGCAAAAACAAAAACTGAACAACTTTTGCCTTAGGGTCACATCGAAAGTAAAAAAAAAAAAAAAAAAAAACCATTATATAAGACAACGAACTAAGCATAAGATTACAAACAACAAACATAATAAATGAAACAACAACATTAATCAAAAATAAATATACAAGTATTATAAATTTTACTGAAAACCAAATAAGTAATTTAAAAATAATAATAATAAGTTATTCATTTATAAAAGAAAAACTTAATTCAACGTCATAAACTTATATTGAAATAAACATTCTCGAAATGTTTAATATTAAAAAATTATAAAATAAATAAAATCATACTTTTTGCAAATGCTCTGGAATAAAAAAACATGAGATACCTATAATAAAACATTTGAATTTTTTTTTATAGTAAAGTTATGAAAACGGGTGATGATAACACTACGGGGCAAAATATAGTTTGCGATTGCACGTCAGACACCCTAGTTGACCAAGAAGGTGGGTTGTTTACAATGCACTAACTTTGATTTCGAACTCAATATTGGTGCATAGTCCAATTATAACTTTTTTTGGTTACTCGTGCGTAGTGTCCCCTAAAATTATTTAAGCTTACAAAGCAACAACATACAGCATTTGCATTAGATGCAAAATCATTGTTATTAATTGAGCAACTATAAAAGGTTGATTTAAAGAATAGGCCATTCGTCGGACCGTTGGGGTACCTCATTTTTTCGTGCAGCCTGGCTGTGCAAGGACAAAGGAAGGTTAAAAAAAAAAAAAAAAATCCCAAACAAAACTTTGTAATGCAAAAAAATTAACTGAACAACTTTTGTTTGAGAATCACATCGAAATTCATTACGAAATTTATTTATTTATTATTTTTTTGCCTTATGGGCAAGTGGATCCAAGTCACTCAGGGTTGTCGGCGTTCATGACAGGCTTTCGGGATCCGCTCTCGACATGTTCGGCCATCACGTCCGTAAAAAAAAATAAAAAATAAAAAATAAAAAAATTATAGGCTACAAGAGTGGCACGAAACTATTTGCTCGTCCAAGACGAAAAAAAAAAAAAAAAAGCTAAGCTACCAGTTGGGCCGTCGGGTCCCGTGTGGCCAGCCCGTACAAGATTTATGAGATATGTCAAGCATTAAACTGTAATCGGTTAGTACATCACAGAACAAGGAACATGTAATAAGACACAAAGATTGCAAAGTTCGAAGTACGCAAATGGTCTTCACTCCCACAGTTCCACAACCCCATGAACCACCGTACGTGCCACAAACCCTGTTTTATCGAGGCAAAAGCCGTGATAAGACCATCAACCGAAAGAGGGCTCCTACAACGACAATCATTGCTTAAGTACTACGTGTTTCCTGGAGCTGTCATACGGTTCTGGCAATTCGTCCAGTCGCAACTTCAAACGGCGATAGCTCGAGTCCCATCCAAAATAAAGTTGCGATAACTCGGAAACAGGTAGTCTGCTACACTACTGGTCGAGCTAACCAAAAACAGAGTTGAATCCACACCACACGGCACCAGGCTCGGGCTCCGGGGCCTCTTCCAAAATAAAGAGCCCAAAAAATACATAGCCCGGGCTCGAGGGGCTAACCTGTACTCACAGTTTGTCTCCCATGGCCAAATCTAAAACAAAACAAAACACAAGGCCCGGGCTCCGAGGCCTCATTCATCATCCGAAGGGTCCGCAAAAAAAAAAAAAAAAAAGATACAACGCCGGTAATCGAGGGGGGCTATCTACACTTACAACATTACCCGCTGAGAAAGAGAAAAACCCAAATCTTACAGAGTGTCCCCTCATAACAAATCCCCCTTCCGGATATAAAAAACCCTGTCGCTACAGAGGGTCAAACTTCCGTTACTCGCGCACAAACTCGACCGCGAGTTTTCAGTGCTCGTCCCTCCCATGCACGAAATGTTTCAATACACGCGAAAAAAAATCTCCGGGGACATCCTTTAAGCGTGATTCCCTCTTCAAGGATATCACTCTCCTTGGGATCTCATACCTTGTGGATGTATTGCGGTCGATACGATGCAAATGGCTGGCCAGGGTGGCACTCTTCTGCATCTTACTACCCCACGACAGATAGGATTGCCCATTGAAGAACGTCAAATGTTCATCTTCCCTCATGAACTCCTCATTCTTTGAGACCTGAACACAGTTTATAAAGGTCTTTGAGACCTGAACACAGTCTATAAAGGGAAAACAATCATTAATCCGAACGTCACAACCCAAAAAATCCCAGATTTCGGTCCCGTCATCTGTTCTCTTAAGTGTGAGGTTCTTCAGGTAAGAACAAGAAAATCTCGAAAAGATGTCGGCAAGTTCATTAGCTTTCAGATTGTCGCCCGGAATGATCAGACTGACGTCATCGATCAAGCGAACACCAAACACGACCTTCCGCCTACCCCGAAGACTACTGAGAAAAATATATCATACGCGTGCACACATAATGCATGCAAGAGGGGGGAGTGTACTCTTTCCCATAGGGATTCCAACCTTTTGTTAGAGTAGCGTCCATTAAGCATAAATAAACGTGCTTGTGAGTTCGAAATTCACAAATTTTTGGATCTCCTTGAAGTTGACCAGCTTCCAATGGTCGTACCTTGTGGTTACTCCGAAACTCACGCTTTTCCCGCGTGGATTGATACGGACAAAGGTTCTCCTTTTCTCCGCATGAAACTTCAATAGCTAGTCGACCGTATTCAGAATATCCAGATGCGGCAGAAGGCTGAACATATCCTTTATATCAAAGGATCGTGCGACCACTTCTGGCACTCCTGCGGGAGGCAGTCCAGAAGGTAATTCAGAGCTTTAGCAACCAACTTGCTAGTCTGTGCGGTGGGTTCCAAATACGATGGACAGATCGACCGAAATCGTTCAAGATCCTTATGCTTCGGCATAGCAAAGGCATGGCCAATTGAGTCTTTGCTATCCCAACGTGAAAACTCCAAAATCCCCTTCGTTTGCAATTCCGACTTCATACCTTCCAGCATCGTTTTTTCCGCCTTCGTGACTGGTACATAACCCACATTACGAACGAATAAGGTCATCATGCCCTCGTAATACAGAAGAGGGCAGAGTATCAGTGTTTTCCCAAGATTTATATCCAGGGGGAAAAGTACCAATCGTTTAAAATGTTTCTTCAGTTCGACAACCTCCCTCGTATCCAAAAAAAAACTACCGTGCGTTCCAACGTCAATCATGCATCGGGGCAGTTCATCAGCGGAACAACTAACTGATTGACCCTTAACGTTGGTCCATTTGGAAAAACTTTCCCTGATCTCCTGCCCCAATTTTTATATCCTATCATTGTGATTCGCTTTCGGAACGTTGTTCGCGTTCATCAGCAGAGGTGTGATGTTATCCATGTCGCGTAACCTAACATGTACGTAGCCTCGTACCCTTGGGTACGACAAACATGCACAAGCGCAGGGCAACACATCCGATCGAGCAAAAACACGATGGTTGAAGATCAGGTCCGCGACATTAGGATTCCTTGTCCAGATGATGTGGACCAATTTTCGCGCGCACCGGATTACGCATGGTGGAAGACACAAACCTCTCAATTTATTATTAACCAATTTTTGAACTTCGGCCAATTTGATATGATTTTCAAATAAAAGACGGATCACGAGTCTGACAGAGAAATTAAAACCAAAACCACTTTTCACACATCTCTCAATAAGACACCTCAAGTAGGCAGGTGTGCTCTTCCTTTCAAAATCCTTAACCATATTGAACTGGCTGGATAACGAATCAAGGTCCCATCTCCGAAGCTGGTCGAGACATTTGGGATTACGAAGGAGTGAGACAAAAAAGGTTTGTTCACATCCCTCCGTGCTCTCCAACGCCTCAGATACTGCGCAACCATATAACCTTCGGTTTTGAAAGCACTCTTAAATTTTTTTAAGCAACCGGTCCGTCCCCCGTACGTGACACTTGAAGATCCAAAAGCTTTACGTATTTCGTTCCAACGTTCGCACCATGTGGTTCCTCCTTCGATATACAAAGAGAAAGTACGATTACCCTTATCGTCCTGGGTACTCTAAGCATTAAAGACACTAGCCGACCATGCATCGTCCTCACTCACTCACACTCGATTCGGGTGTATTACGCGATTGTTCGTACTCTCATCTAGCCCCCTCTTAGCCTGCCTCACACGTTCTTTCTTACCCCGTCGTCCAGTTTTTCTAGAACCCGAACTCTTGCTTGCTGTGTTTAAGAAAGGACTCCATTGACGAATGAAAACAGACTCCACACGGACCAGGTCCAAAGGTTCCACAACCTCAACAGGCAACAAAACATAGGATTCCATGCCAAAGCATTTCCACCAACGATACAAATGTGTGTTCCTCATGTTACGCTTACACACCGACATGCGTTCTTTCCATCTCATTAATGGTGAACGAGACGTTTGGCCAACATACAGGGACTTACATCAAATCGAAGTGATAACATACACACCGTTCGGTTGCTTTAAAAAAATCGAGCCCATGGCGCAGATAAAGTTTTACCCCAAGAATCAATGCATTTCGATAACCATCCACAAAAGCCACACAGAGCAAATAGAGAGTCAGAAGGCAAAGGATCGAGTCTAGCCCGTCATCGATCTAAAGCCGAAATGACATGATGACATTAGACACTATGATCCAATGATCCATAGTGAGGCCAATTCAGGCCTGTGCCCTGTCATCCGCCTCATCCTGACTCGACTGCGCAGCTTCGTCCTCCAAGTTCCCAAAAACTCCGAAATCTAGTACCAGTTCCCCAAAGCGCAATTGTGCTCGCCGGTCGGCAATATCGAAAATTGTTTGAACCTTCGTCTCGTAGTTCACTCCTTCGTCTCTGCAGATCATCCGCAGTGTATCGTAATCCATCTTCGATAACTCTCTCTTGGTGTTATCAAGGAAAATCATGCGTTCCATGATGGTGTCCCTGGCAGGTGCCTTCACCACAGTAAGCGCTTTAGAGGCGACGCCCCTTGTGACGTGTCGGACCGCAATCCTCGTTCTAGTCCGCTCCAAATGATCGGAGAGGCGTACAGGGCGAATCCCTGCACGTTTACTTAAACGCTTCGCTGGTGTTACCACAAGCAGGCTATCACCCGCGGGTGCATCTTCTCCTCGCTTACACTTCTCCTGAATCGATAAATTCTCAGTGCCCTTCGTGATGGCTTCGACTTCACTAGCCATGTCGGATGATGACGGAATATCCTCAACAACAACTTCTCTCGCTTTACCTTTACTTGCAAATGTGGTCTTCATTTAACTGATTATTACCGTGCTTGTTATCGCCTTCCGGACTTCCGTTTTATTATCCTCTCTGATATCGTCGAGCCTCAGTGAAAGTTGAACTTCAACAGCTTTAGCCATGGCTAATTGTTCCTCCTCACGTATACGTTGCCTCTCTGATTTCTGGAGGGCCCGATCCTCCTCGGACGCTTTTACTTGCTCACAAAGATGTTGCTCCTTCTCCGCCCTCCAAGCTCGTTCCATTTCGACGAATTCATGCACCAAGGCTACGGTTCTCCCAAGCTCATCGAGGCGATTTTGTGTTGCTGGTTCCTCAACCTGGGGCTGTTGTATTCGATTTCTTAGTGGTGATGCTCCCGGTGCTCTGCGACTGAACTCCGTTGGGAGGATATAGCCCTCCGCTTCCAGTTGACATCGAGCGACTGGATCTGTCCAGTACCGCCAGCAATCCGTACAATAGTGTCCGACCACTCTCCATCCAAAGCAGGTGGGCGGTCCACGCCGAGGAGCGCATCATTCCTACCTTCTCAACTGCTGCTTCGCGAACTTCCTTGCCGCTGCCTATTATCACCTCGATTTTCCCGATGTCCACGCTCCGGTGAACGTGGTCTTCTCCCATCTCGGCTCCTATCTCGATAGTGGTCACCAGCCACAACACTTGAAAAAGTTGTACAAAACTTGAAAAAGTCGCACAAAAAGAAAGTTAACTACGTGCTCACTCACTCTAGTTAGAAGACTCCAGGAAGGTTCACACGTGCATCCAAAGGTTTATAAGATATGTCAAGCATTAGACTATACTCAGTTAGTACATCACAAAACACGGAACACGTAATTACACACAAAGATTGCAAAGTTCGAAGTACGCAAATAGTTTTTACTCCCACAGTTCCACAATCCCAAGAACCACCGTACGTGCCACAAACCCTTGTCTATCGCGACAAAAACCGTGATAAGACCGTCAACAAAAAGAGGACTCTACAACGACAGTCACTGCTTAAGTACTACGTGTTTCCCGGAGTTGTCATACCGTTCCTGGCAATTCATCCAGTCGAAACTACAAACAACGATAACTCGAGTCCCATCTAAAACCAGAACTCAGAAACAGGTGGTCTGCTACACTACTGGTCGAGCTAACCAAAACAGAGTCGAATCCACACCACACGGCACTAGGTTCGGGCTCCTTGGCCTCATCCAAAATAAAGAGCCCAAAAAATACATAGCCTAGGCTCGAGGGGCTAACATGTACCCACAGTCTACCTCCCATCGCCAAATCCAAAACAAAACAAAACACCAGGTCTGCGCTCCAGGGCCTCATTCATCATCCGAAGGGTCTGCAAAAAAGCAACAACAACGATACAATACCCGTAATCGAGGGGGTCTAAATCTACAACATTACTTGCTGAGAAAGAGAGAGTCCCAAATGTTACGGAAAGTCCCCTCGCAACAAATGACCAGGGAAGGTCCAAGCAAAAAAAAAAAAAAAAAAAAAAAAAAAAAAAAAAAAAAAAAAAATGTGTTATGTAAAAAAATAAACTAAACAAATTTTGCCTCAGGTAACATCAAAATTTTTAATAAAATTTAAAATAATAAATATTTTTTTTTTAAACTTATTTTTTCTAATTTTTTTTTTTTTTTTTTTTTTTTTAAAAGGGACGGGGGGTGGTTTGGGGGTGTTTTTTTTGTGTGGGGGGGGGGGGGGGGGGAGAGAGAGAGAGCCCGA